AAGTTTCCTCAATTATCGGGAAAAAACCCCACCCCCACTTATAAAACATTTAAATTGCTAAATCTGTTTCCTGCCAAGTTCATCCCCTTCTCCTCTCTTCCTGCCTCCCCGCCTTCACCTTTCTCTTCTGTGACTGGCACCCAAGCTCCGCTTAAAGTGTGCCAGAAAAAAGCCTGCATTTCAAATGTATATGAGAACGTGCGTCTCAGAATGATGGACTGGGTCATAACACCTCCTGGGCTGCCTTGAGAGATCCCTGCCACCTGTAGAGATAGAGGAACCCCCATCCGATGACACAGTTTTCATCACTTCTGCCCAGGAAATAGTGGATTTCACTGCAGTGTCTATTTCGACGGTGCCCTTACTTTACATCAGTGTTTCCCAAACTTGACAATTTTAAGGCATGTGGACTTCAACTCCCAGAATTCCACAGCCAGCATTGCTGGCTGTGGAATTCTGGGAGTTGAAGTCCTCATGCCTTAAAATTGTCAAGTTTGGGAAACACTGCTTTATATAATACTTCTCAGGAGTATCCCACAATGGAACATTCCAAGTGTACTGAATTTTCCCCAAAGCATTTCTGGACTCTGAATTAGCAGCACCTGGTTGGATGATACCAAGAGAGCTGTAACAAGACAAAAAATGCAGAAGGCTAAAACCAAACTTTGTAAACCAGGTTGGAGTTTCCGTTTAGCTTTACCAGGACATTTTCCCAGACTTGAAAGAAAGTGGCTAGGATGTTAACACAGAGCTTTGGGAAGGTGTGGAGCAGGAACTGCTACAAAGGGCTGTATAATGTCAGAGAGATATAAATATACAGCTAGTCCTTGACTTATGTTGCTAAGCAAGACAGTTGTGAGTTTTGGCTCATTTTATGACCTTGCTTGCCACAGTTGTTAAGTGAATCACTGCAGTTGTTAATTATGTCTGAAGGTCGCAAAAGGTGATCACATGTCCCCAGGACACTGCAACCGTCATAAATTCAAGTCAGTTGCCAAGCATCCAAATTTTGATCACCTGACCATAGAGATGCTGCAACAGTCGTAACTGTAAAAAATAGTAATAAGCAGTGCTTTTTTTGTCATAGAATGCACGGAACGGTGTTCCGGCACCTTTTTTTGAACAGAAGAACTGGTTCCTTCTAAGCTGCCAGCACGAGTACAGTAAAGCTCTGGTTCGGTGAAAGGAAACTGCCCGGGGAAATCAGGGGCATCGAAGGTCGACCCAGAAACACTTCCACGGCAGTGAAAGCAGACCCTCTTCTCTGCCTTGGTTCATGAGGCTCCCCCTGCCACCTGTCCTCACCCCTGTGTTGGCCACCAGGGACCAGGACTGACTCCTGGAGCGAATCTCTTTGAGATTGGTCACTCTGGCTCCGGAGGAAGCCCCTGTGTCATCAGAGGTAGAGGAGGACGAGGTAGTAGAAGACATGCCAGCTCTGAACAAGCGCCCCCTCAAAAGCTGCAGCAATGGCGTCAGTCAGCTGATGCTGCTCACGTGATCTGCACCTCGGAAGCTCCCTAAAGTAGTTTCTTTTCCTCATTCCCCCCCTCCCCCGCTCTGTAAAGGGCTTTTGACTGGAGCGGGAGCTGTGCGTGAGTTCCGGCACCTTTTTTTTTTTTTTTTTTACAAAAAAAGCACTGGTAATAAGTCACTCTTTTCAGTGCTGTTGTAACTTCAATTAGTCACTAAAAGATTGGTTGGAAGTTGAGCACTACATTTCAGAAATTTGAAGTCTGACAGTTAATCACCCATGAGTTAGTCCAGATAGTTTTTCTTTTCATGAAGCAAAAATAAGCTAAACCCTCAGCAGATTACCATTATTGGAAAAACAATTTTGTCATTTACATATGGTTAGATATCTGTAATATCTGACTATTACTCCTCTTTGACTTAGGTTGGTAGGGCTGTGCTGATAACTCAGGACTAACCTAAGGAACAGGTCTAAGTAAATCCAACCCAGGAAGATTTCTGAGCAGATGACTTCTGCAAGTTCTTTCAAGGACCTTAAATGTAACCGGTCTGCTCTGGAAGACTGAACTTAGTTAAGACTTCCTCAGCTATCTCTCTACATGTCTTGGGTTGCCGCTTTCTCCTATTGTCAGTTTTTTTGCTTAGTTCATTTGAGCACATTACCACTCTGTGAGTTAGATTGAAATAATATTGGAATTGAGAAGGTTTGTCTTTTTACCTTTATTTATTCTCCCATTTTCTCCCAGTGGGAGACTTAACCCTTCCTTTGACTTTTTTTCTGCTGATGAAACCAAAGAGCCCCTTGTATTGTTTTTATCTTCTCTTGAAAATATAAGATCCCTTTTAATCTTATTAGCTTTCTTTCTATAACCATGTGCTCTCCTTAGTGATTATACTGATTTTATCATGTTCTATTTCTGTCCTTTTTAACTCTTAGCACAGGTGAAAGTTTCCTATGGATTCACAATGATTTTCTAAGCTGCCCGTCTCCCACCTTTCCCCCCCATTGGAATGAGGTTCAGTTGTACTTCATTTAAATTGAGAATATCTGTTCAGAAGATCCCAATTGGTACTTCTCTGGTTTTCAGCAAGCTCTTCTCCATTGGTTGCGATCAGATCTAGGAGAGATGATCCTCTTATCTCTTTTTCAGCTTTTTGGAAAATAAAACAATAAGACCATTTTTGGAGCTTTGTGGTCTTGGCCATGACAGTCATCCATCCCATGTCTGTGTAGTTAAAATTTCCATTATTAATAAGTTTTCTCTCTGAAAATTAATGTCCAGAAGAATATTATCCAGATACTCTTATCTGTTTCAATTATGTATAATACAACCTCATGGTGACACATTTGTTGTTCCCTTCCATTACATTCTTCCTAAATATTGGTCGTTCACGCTCAGATTTCTGGATCTCAGAGCATGGGTACACCTCCTTCAAATGTGACATTCTCTCTTTGTGTGTGGCCTGTTCCTTTCAAATAAATTGTACTCTTCAATTCTTGCATTCCATTTATGAGTTTCCTCTATGTTTCACCATTGCCCACTAAATTCATTTTCCTGCATTAAGACGTCTAGTTCTCCCCATTTGTTCTCTACTTGTGTAATAGAAGATTGTTTCCCTAGGAAAGTTTGCCCTGAGCTATTTGGATTCAGAATAAATACATTTTAAATACTTTTAATAGCTTGAGACTGATGAGGCTTCTGCTCTATTAAGCTTCCTTTCAAGATTTCCTATATGGGCCATCCAGAAACCCTCACAAGAAGAAATATATAGCAATAATACATTTCATGTTTGTTGTTTACTTAGATTGTTAACTGCAGTAAATTTGGCTTATACCAAACTTTCAACCTGAAAAGGCTTTTTTTGGATCTGTTGGTTGGAATCAGATCTAGGAGAGGTGATCCTCTTCTCTCCTCTTCAGCTTTTTTGGAAAATGAAACAGTGTGACCATTTGAGCTTTGCAGTCTTAGCTATGAGGGTTGGCCAACAGAACATCTAGTCCAGATCCTGTCATTAAGAGCAGCCAACTAGATGCATTTAGGAAGCTCATAAATACAAACAGTCTTTAGTGAGTGGTATTCACAATATGCTGCCTGTGTTTCCAAAGATGTAAATGCCATCAAGTAGCCACTGATTATGTGCAACCAGTGGCTGAGTGCTTGTGTCCACGCAGCTCCATTTGCTTGAGCAGCAGGCACATGTGCCCGCCTCTCACGCTGCTCACCAATCACTTGTATGTCCCAGTTCCGAACGGGCCACAGCCTGGAGGTTGGGGAACCCTGGCGTAGAGGTAAGCACATCCTAAATAAAAATACTGTTTATAATACTTGTACACGTTGTAGTTCACAGTATCTAGGCACATTGTGTTGTGGTTCTTACATAAAGGCATTTCATGAGCTCATCAGATTGGTAGTGACCATTGGATCCAACCTCTGCTCAAAGCAAAAATCCAAGTTAGAGCAATTCAAGACAATGACAGTATGTTTGGACATATCCAATGAGTGAGAGCCACCATCACTCTACGTCAATGTTTCTCTACCTCAGCAGCTTCAAAATGTGTATACTTCAACTCCCACAATTCCTCAGCCAATTGAAGTCCACACACCTTAAAGTTGCTGAGGTTGAGAAACACGGATCGAGGTAATTGATCCCACTCCCTGTAACTTAAATCTGTTATTCCATATCCAGCACTCTGAAATATGAAAGAAGAGGTCCTGGCCTTCTCTTGTGATGTCCTTTCAGGCATATTGAGGAACATATTACATTTCTTTCCAAACGTCATTTCTCTCAGCTAAACCCTTGCCATTTCAGTCTCTCCTCCTAGGGATTGGTTTTTACTCCCACATTATCACTTCCATGTTATCTTGACAACATGGATGCGGTTTGCCCTTGCTTATATACAGGGGATTCTTTTCAATTTTCCAGGGCAATCAGCAGCTCTAGGGGTCCCAGGCAATTCCCCCATTCATGAACAAGCCTTGTTCAGTTTCCAGAAAGTGCAGAGCTGACTAGGTCTGCGCTTATGGAGACTCTCCAGATTAGTGTCTCTGAACTTTAGCAGCTTTAAGATATGTGGACTTCAACTCCCAGAATACTTACCCAGCATGCTTGAAGTCCACATAACAGTTGTGAGGTTGAGAAACACTGATCTAGATAGAAGCTAATAAAGGCATGTGCACCACATTGCCTTACGGTGCACCTTGTCTGATAGTATTTTGTAGTTCTAGCATGTGTGAAGCTTCTGTAGTTTTGATTTATCAGTACCTTGGGATGCTGTTCTTCTGTAACAACAACCTAATTAGTTATTAATTTAAAACTCAAGTGTTAAAAAGATGCCAACAGGCTAGGCTTTGGTGGGATCCTGCCAAAAGAAAGATATTTTTTCATGATGCTACAGTATGGGTTTTGGGGTGATAGCAGGAGAAGCACCATGAAGGTGGCATCTGTTTGTTTGTATTTAGTTCTGAGGAGTGGGGACTAGTAATAATGGAGGAAAAGTTGCATTTTCTTGTTATCTGTGTTTGCAGGCTTTCTGGCTCGCAGGCGGCAGGAGTCTTTGCTGTGGGGATGTTTTCGTTTTCCCGTCTAACGTGGCAATGGTCTATCACAGCAGAGGTTTTCAGCTTAAACAATCTGTTTGTGGGGCTGCTGATGGCGCTTTCTGTGCAATTCGAGGAAGCAACAACTGCAAAAGAGAGATCAAAGGTAGCCTACTTAGGATCAAAAGGCTTCAGGAATGGTTTCCCTTCCCCTTAAGCCTCTGGGAACTAGGACCAAACTACATAGGGTGGCTTAAGCCAATTGTTCCTCATGCTTGGATTCTCTGAATATATTGGGGTTGTAACTTGCCAGATACTGGCTGGGAATTGGACAGGTTGTAGCTTTCAATGGCAGCAGCAACAGTTCAAGATCTTGGCCTGAAGTCCTTTCCCTTCACTGATCTTGTTAAATGGAGGTATGTGGGCCTCTTTGTATGAAAAGTGAGCGTATGGTCCTGCCATTGGTGTGAGCCAAAGTAATTTTTCAAGTTGAGCCTGGGTGTAATCAGGAACTCTCTCTTTGCTACAGCTATACTTCTTGAAGTCTTTCTTAATGTATCCTTTTTTTCTTTCTTTTTTTCCTAATATGCAGAAGGGAGCCCAGCTTGGGGGTGGGGGAAGAATGTTCACCTAGATAGGCAACACATGACAGTACATGGCTCCAGAACAAGCTATTTTTTGCAACCTTGCAGCTCTTCAGTCATGATTGTCTCAAATTTGTGGCATAGTTTTGCACTCCTTTCTTCTAAGCTAATTAAAGCAACTGTCATGGTTCCGAAAGAAGATCACACCCACTGCAATTCTTGATCTAACTACTGAGGCCTCAGTTCTCCTTCCCAAATACTGGGTGCAACCTCTGGCCACCTAGGATAATTTCTGGTTGTTTACTAATACCACCCTTAGATTTTCTCATAATCCCAATCAAGTACTTACTGGTGTATCTTTTATGAGACCAGCCAAGGTCACCTTTTGGCTTCCAGGATTGTAAATAGGGAGCCACGTGAACAGATGTGGTCATCCTTCACAGTTCTGGCTGCTTTTTTGTCCAAGGGACAAACACAGCATTGGGCCATTATGCTGCAAGCTCCACCCTTTGGGATGTGCATCTCAACCTTGAACACTCCTGCAAATGCTGCAGTGAGAACAAACTGCTCCGTGCCCCAGAGTTACTGTAAGAACAAAAACAATTTGAAAAACCAATTTAAATCCATGATTAGAATGTATGTTTTCCGTCCTTTCTTTGCAGATCTGTAAAGTGGGTGCCTTCTCTTGTGGACTGAGCATGTGCAACCAACATACCATTGTGATCTACGTGCTTTGCATTGTTTTGTGGGTTTCCTCTCACTTGTTCAGGGAACGTGTGAGTATTTGCAAGTCTAGAAACATGCTTGGACAGCTCTTTCCTACAGTCTGGCCCACTCTGTGAACAATGGGCAGTTCCAAATAACAACAAGCAGCAATAATAACAAACAGAAGAGGATACAGAATTAATAAAAAGCCTGCATCTGTCTGTTTCACATGTAGAGATGAGAAAAATAACTGCAAGGGTGTCCTGTCTTTTTGCATTAAAAGGGCAGAGTTGGAATTTTAAGAATACAAGTACTCCTCGCTTAACAACCAAAATTGAGACTGGCAATCCCATCACTAAGTGATAGGGTTGTTAGACAAGACATCCTTTATGCAAATTTACTGCATAAATTTGCATAAAGCTTCTGCATAAAGTTGCATAAAGCTCTATTGGTTCTGCTTGTTGGAAGCTGGCTGTGAAGCTCACTTATGGAGATCATGTGATGATCATAAGCACCCACAAAGTGCCCAAAACTCAATTATGACACTGTGGGATGCTGCAATAATCATAAATGCAGGCCAGTCATAAGGATACATTTTCCTCACTATTGTAACTGCAAATGGTTGCTAAACGGGGCAGTCATTAAGCGAGAACTATCCATATGTGAGAAAGATGCTGGTTGGAGATTGTTCATTCACAGAATAGCTGTCAATTACTTACTACCCTCTTTGTTTCCTCTACCTGCCTGGACATACCTTGCTTCCCTTTTTTCTTACTTAATAGCAAATTTCCAAACAAAGTGCTGGTCTACAGCTGCCCATTATTTTTATTTCTTAAGGATATTTACATGGAGCTCAAAGACACTATTGAAATAAAGATGCCTTTGTAGCATGTCAGTTTCTGGTTCTTTTAAGGTTTATATGTTGATGTAAAAAAAATGAGATGAAACAAGAAATCTGTCAGTCACTAAAGAAGATATTTGGAGCACATGGACACTTCTGAATACTTTTGGTATTACCGTATTTTTCTGTGTATAAGACACTATTTTTTCCTGCAAACATCCTCTTCAAAAATTTAGTGCGTCTTATACATGGAAAAATAATGGTAACCTCTGGAGCCCAGGGCATGCCTGTGTATGTTGCCATGCTGCCTGGTGCAGGTGTCAAGCCCCCGTGGGCTTGCCTCTAATGGGAGGGGGCAAGATCTTCGGCCGGCCGAACTTGCGGATTTGCCGGCTCAGCTGTTTGGCACTCTGCCAAACAGCTGATCAGCGCGGAGAGCGTCTTATACAAGAGTGCGTCTTATAGACAGAAAAATACAGTATATTATTAATGCTAGAATTGTTATATTTTGAACAACGTACAATATATTTCACTACACTACTTGGTGTTATAATTCTTAGCTGCCACTGTAGCATTTTGGAAGCATCTTTATGCTCAGCCTTAGTTTGAGAGAATCAGCTTCTGTTTTGTCTATGGAGCTTCTCAATCATCCAGGTCATGGTTGTCTCAAGACCTGAAGAAGCTTCTTGGATGAGAAGTGAAACATTTCAAGGAGAAAACCAAGAAAGCCCAGTTGTCTTTTGGGACAAATTCTGTTTTACAACTCAGAAAATGAAAATGAAGAAGGCTCTCAACAAGTCTGCAAGAGAAAAATTGAAAGCCAAGATCACCTTTCTCTTTCCTAAAAAGTTTATTGAGATACTTAGCTTCTTCATCCTCTTGTTGTATATTTAGTGATTCCAAAGATGGTCTTTTTGTTTGAAGTTCAGATCCTCTCTTGAAACCAGGACCGCTGGATTCCCTTTAGCATTATTCTGCAAGTAATGCTTCTTGTAAATTACATTTAATGATTACTCCACTTCCATCCTTTGGTTGATCCCTCTGTTGCTCCACAAGAGTAGTCATGTGCTTACGATGACTTGCCACTGATTTTAACAGAAAAAAGCTGGCTTTCTCCTTTCTACCACCTCAAGAATTCTTTTAAGTATGAATCTCTCAAGAAAGGGGAAGTGAGACCATCATGGTAATATCACTGTAAATTCTACCCTGAACCCATAATATTTAATAATTTAAATTGGCTAACTCAGATTATGTCCCTGTGTAATCCATAGTTCTCAGAAGATTAGTTGCCCCTTTTTGGTACCCCTGAGAGTAGGCCCATGGGCTTCCATGAAAGTGAGAGTGTCAAAATCAGAGTATTGTGATTGTATGTGCATGTGATATCACTGCACATACAAAAGGGGTGAAACATCCATTACAATCTCCCAAAGATGCTTTTTCAAAAGGCAACTGGACTTTATTTTTTCTTCAGATGTTTCGCTTCTCATCCAAGAAGCGTCTTCAGTTCTAACTGAATGTTGGAAGGTGGAAGGATTTATATTCCTTGCAGTCATCTGGCTGTCAGCACTTTTTCAGAGAGTCACTGAGGCCACTTGGAGGTTTATCTGTGCTCTCAGGGTCACCTGAATAGTGCAAATGGATGTGGAACCTTCTTGGAACTGCTGACATTTCTGACAACCATGATCTGGATGACTGAGACTCTCCATGAACATCCATCACAATGCCATTCCTGCCACTTGCTGATTTTGTTCCCCAACTACAGATGCTGCTGAGAAAGTGTCAGCCCTTCTAAATATGGATGTTCCAATTGGTAATGGCCTTTAGAAGATCAGCACTAGACTTTTAAGACATTAGATTTTAATTTAATTGTTGGGGAGGGGAGTGTTGATGAAAAACCATCCAATTTTTTAATCATTGCAAAGTGGTTTATCTCCCCTTTGCAGCCCTTCTGATATCTGGTCCTGTCATGGCTTAACTTCAGTGGCCAAAGGTGCCAGTGATGGGATCCTTGGGAGCCTCAGATACTATTTGTTTCAATTTGAAATTGCATCCTGCCATGCAGAAAGGATCAGGGTGATGTCATCTTCCAAAAGTAATCCACGGAGAATGCCATTTTTAACATCATGTTTTGAGACTCCACATGCAAATTAAGATATTAGCGCTATATGTCAGTATATTACTTGTTTGCTTCCTAATTTAGAAGATTTATGCACTGCAGTCATCCGACTCAAAATATTTGCAGTTCCAGTTAATATATTTCAAAACAATATGGCAAATTTAGACATAACACTATAAAAATGTATAAGTCAATCTTAAGTCCCAGAAGATGGGATCATCTACTACAGGGGTGTCAAACTCGCCATGTCACATGACATGTCACGACATATCACGACTTTTCCCCCATTGCCATAGCTGGGGTGGGCGCAGTTTCAGTATGATGCATCCGGTCTGCGGGCCGGCAGTTTGACACCCCTGATCTACTATCTTGCCCAATACCTGGGGGAAAAGTCATCTTTTTAAAACTTTCCAGAAGATTAGCAGGATTGGCACTAACTGAATCTTAGCTATTACTGATTTCTCTCTTGCTTGCCCTCTTGAAGTTGCAGCAATGTAATGAAAACAGAGGGCTCACGTAGTGTTGCAAAATGTTTTTTGGTGTAGGAGCTGACCCTGAGCAATGTGCTGAAGTTAAGTTTCTGCTTCTTGGCTGGTTGTCTGCCTTATCTCTACTTGCCGATTTCTGCCTACCTCAATAAAGCCCGCTGGACCTGGGGAGACCAGACAACCTTTAAAGGATTTATCACCCACCTTCTCCGGGAAGAGTATGGCACATTCAGTCTGGTAAATTGAGTTCTCCTTTTAAGAACAAAGTTTCTCATAAATACTAAACCTGTGTGATATTGCATCTTTTCAGCTCATAGGTCAGGCTCTGAAAGGCAGAAGGGATTTCAAATTATTGCCATTTTGTTATTTGTCACTTGCAGTTTAATAGTCCTTGCACCTGTCCCTTAGGATAGCTATAATCACTTGGTGACTGGAGAAATAATTTAAATCCCCTCCAGCTGTTCAAGTCACGGCATTTTTCATTTTACATGAAGGTTAATACAACCCAGTGGCAGACTGGAGCTCTCTTCTGGCAGAGGTACGTGAAGGCTGTATAGATCTGTATCATGTCTTTCCTCCTACCCTAGGAATCCACTTTGTATCTCATTGCCAACCCTCTTAGGTGGGCTGAGCCAAGACAGGGCAAATGGTCATCAGGTCGCTTGAAAGATGGACTTGAGCTTCCAATAAACTCCAGTGGTTTATTAAACTGCACTGGCTCCCTGTATGCTAATTGTATAATTCATATTAGATAGGTACATCTTAACTGCTTTTATGTTTTGAGCTCGGTAGCGATATTTTAAACTTACTACAGTACATAATTGAGGTGTAGCTTGTCCTTGAAGTGATCAGAGGAACTCAGGCGTTGGACAGGATTATGTTTGGTATTAGCATTTCCCAAAAGGGGCATTTGTGTGTTAAGGCCAGTCTGATTGCAGCAGTCAAGCCAGCTTCGGGTGTATCTGGGCATGAATATTCAGTGGATCCTCAGTTTTTCTGACTTAGGACTTTTCAGGGAGTAAAAATGACAGCCTTTGGCCATGTGCAGTTGGCAGGGTTTATTCGTATGACAGCCAGAAAGTATTTCAGATAATTTCTGTTTGAACTGGGATGGTGCTTATAAGCAGGAAATGGTTCCATCAATTTTCCTGTCCCCTTATTTGTCTTACTGGTAGAGGTTGCAGTCTTGTACAGTGTTGCATGGAAGTTCATCAGTTTTCATTAACCCTATGTAGCTATATACTTTTATTGACATTAATGAAATCCAAGTAATGAAAATCTAGAACTCATTTTCAACCATGTAGCTGTCCCACAATGATTGGCACATGTGATGTCAGGTCTTCAGGACTATAAATAGGTATATGTTGGGTGGATGGGTAGGAACTAAAGGAGGTGAAAAACAAAATCCTGAAACTGTCGAGTCAGAACTGAGCATGTTCATTATTGACTGTCTGAAAATATAGGGGGTATATAAAGGGGAAAGGCTGAATGGAAGATGGAATGACTGGAGCTCTGAGCAGGAGTCTTTAATTGCAATATTTTGCTGCAGAGTCCTTGATGCTGGTTTGAATAATGCATTGTTTAAGTTAACATTCCATAGTGTGGTTGCAGGCCAGATAGTGACCAAAGCCCTTCTGGCTTAGCTTGGAATTGGTTGTTCCTGATAAAATGCATGGATATTCCAGAATCAAGATCTTGGGCACTGGCTGGGTTAACCAAAATGGACGGTATAGCTAGATTTACACTGTATAAATAATCCTGATTTTCTTCTTTTCTGCGCAGGCAAAATTGGAAAATGGATCCAGTATGACTGATGTATTGGTGTAAGTGAATGCAAAATGTATGGATTATAGTGTAATTATAAGTGTATCTGACACAAACATTTCCTGTTGCATTCAGTGGAGCTTATTTGCAGTAAGTGGGTGCAAGATTGCAGCTTTAATTTGCCCTTTAGGCAGAGGAAAATTTAAAAGACTTTGGGGAGAGTAAAGTCTTGTGATCTTCATCCTATATTCCTTTTTGACATCCCAAATGTTTTAAGATCTTAGCAGAAAGAATAAAACACATTTTAAATGTATGCATTTACAAATAACCATTGTATCTCACTTTCCGTTAAAAAAAATCCCTAAGTGGAGTATAATAAATAAATGCAAATGTACTTATGGATTAAAAAAAGGACAGATGCAATAACAAGTTGGAATGAATTTAAGGATGAACTTGTGAAAATGATATGGATGAAAATGACTATTCTCCTGTGACATTGTGAGTTATTTGAATGTGATAGCTGGTGGAACACAGCCATTCCTGAGTGCCAGATTAAAGCAAATGTGGAAAGAAAGGGAGAACAGGCCTGCTTGGGTGTGCTGTTGGACTGGATCTTAGAATGAGGGCTCAGCACTTCCTATCCAGGCACCCAATCCCTGTCTGATCCAGTTATTTTACTCTGCATTGTGAAAGCATTCATTTGCCAGATGCTCTGACATCTGCTTTTAGCTCTTCCACAAGAGATGATTTTATAGTTGTGGCCCCCTTCATCTTCCCATAAACTTTTGCTATCTTTGGTTGCCAAATACTCTTGTTCTCTGGCTTCCTTGCAGTTTTCAGGTGACCCACATGAAGATGGAACTTTCCTTCGTTGTACAGGCCTTTGCAATTGCGGCATGTGTATGCTGTGCAGTGAGGTACTGGGGTTTATTTCAAGCTTAAGTATTTCCAAATTGGATATTTATCTGGAGACCCAGAAAGTTGGATTGAACTAAGTTTCTCCCTTACATATATTTGTCTGGCTCTGCCTTTTTTAGATGATAGATTTTGGTGGAAGTGTTTACATATGTTTATGCACACATATACGCTTTTATGTGCATACAAGTGTATCAGATAAATTTATTGTAGAAGACAAAGTCTTCAAGATTGGTTTCATATAGAGTTGGTAACCCTAGATTAATAAAGTGAGAGAAGAGTTTGCCCATGCATGCAGATAGATGTAGATTTATCTGTTCTTAGATTGGAGTATGGGATTCATCTTCAATTCAGACTCAATGTTCTTTTTGGTAAATTCAGTAAATTTGTTACATTCAATTTTTTTTTTTCAAAAAATAGCTTTTGAAAAAACTTGTTCATTTATTTACTTTAAATCAATCATTCCCAGCTCGTGTCACTGCCATAGTTGGGAGTAACAGAAATATAGTACAAACATATCTAGAGGGCACTAAGTTGGAGAACAGTTGTGCGTGATTTTTTTTTTTTTATGATTTGTTCCAGTTACTGTCACTGGTGTTCACCTCTCCTTTTAATTTGTGTTATATGTAGAATAATGTAAGTAACAGGCTTTATTCAGTTTGCAGTTTCTTGTTGCATGTTATAAAGTTTTTATAAAGTTTTCAAATTATATTCTTTTCTCCTCTTTAGGCCAAAGATAGGGAAGTCACAGTTGATTTGGCTGTTTGCATCAATGTTATTGACATACTCTTTCTTCTTTGCTTGGAGGGCAAATTTGGATATTTCAAAGCCCCTGTTTAAGGGGGTGGTGAGTTTGCTTCATTAAAAGGGATCATTTTAATTTAAAAACAAAAGTGGGATTCTGGAAGGAGGTACCATGCATTTTAGAAACGTACTTTCATTTTACAGATTCATATTCAATGTTACTGTAAACATCGTTCAAACATTGTTGTTTAGAAGCTGGAAACACATCAATAAAAAGTACTTTTATTCCAAGCTAAGATATTTGCCTGTTTAGCCTCAAATGGCCTCTCCTGGCTCACAACATTTCACTGAGGTCTCTGGCAGAGAATGCTCCTGCTTTTTGGTCCTCTTAGTGGGAGGAAGCTGGAAACCAGTTGGAAAGTGGTGTTGTAAACCACCCAGAATCACTTAGGTTAGATGAGCAATGTAGAAATTTAATAAAAGCACCTGTGCTGCATGACTGAGTTACATCCTCTTCAAAATCCCCTAGAATAATGTTTCTCACCTTGTCAATTTCTGGGTTTGTAGACTTACACTGCCAGAATTCCACTGCCAGGATAGCCATTTATAAGAATTCTGGCAGTTGAAGTCCATATCCCTGGTAATGGCCAAGGTTGGGAAACACTGCCCCAGAAGCACCATATCCTCAAAAGCTGCATTCACAGGCATGGGAAATGTTGGGGAAAGTGCAATAAACCATCACTCTTCCAGAACAGGACAAAACCACAATATTTTCTTCAACAGGTTGAGCGATTCTGGATGCAAAGCAATGCAGTGATTGTCGTTCTAGCTGGCTTTGGCTTCTCTTTACTCTTTTTTCTTGGTGAGATATTTGTCGGAAACAGCAGAAGGATTTACCATTTGGAATGGCTTCTGGCAGCTGTTTTTGTTACTGCTCAAATCTATTCCAATTACAGGTAATTAACAGGGAGGCAGCAGTTAATAATGTTTGGTGGACTGATCACTAATGTCCATATTTTTTTTCTTCTCCATTCCCCCAAGTTGCTCAGAGCAATATCTACGCAGAACATAGAACTTCTGCTATCCTGTTATCTCTATAGGTTGTGGTAGGCAAAATTTTACCCAAAAGTTTCTAGCTGGGGATTTGATTCTTGCACTTCTCTGTCATATTCCTATTTTTTGACAATGGTAAGGACAACCAGTGTAAGGTAACCCACTGAGGTTAGGAAAAAACCAGAATGTTTTGGAACCAAGAATAAATGGAAGTTGTATCTTGGGAAAAAGCAGTTAGTCTTTCTGTTTTGCACTTATAGAAAGAGAGGTTCAAGTCTCATACAGAGAGTTTTCCTTTAAAGAATTGACTCGTCAGTGAAAGCAGGAGGTTTGCTTATTCAGTTTCTGAGAGTCTGCATCCTAAGCCCTTGTATTCTAACATTAGCTCTGATTAATGAAACTTCATGTCAGTCTTACTTTCTTGGTAGTGTTCTAATGCTAGGGGCTTGGCATGGTAGACATTTGGAAGAGCAAGCTGTTGACATCTACTCTAGGAAGGATTCCTAGTCATAAAATGGCTACCATAGGGAGAAAAAAATGTGCACTTTATCAGCAAGCAAGTAGGAGAAATTTCTGTATCTTGGTTATTTTTGTTCCTAAGTAGTTGGGTCTATTTCCAAACAGGATTTTGGACTATCACCATAGCTTTTTAAATCTTTAAAAAATGGATTTTTGGTTTTTGAATTTCATTTTAAAATAAAGTGATGATACAAGAATGTTGGTGCTTTGTTTTCTGCTTGAGAGGGGGATTGAAATCTGATTACACAATGCTTCAGTTTTAGCACTTTATCCATTGCAGCACACCTGAGGTATCTGATGGCCTATTGTTACCATCAAAGTATTTTCAAGTTCTTCCCTTGTGCATAGCATCCTTCCTTTCAAAGGCTGCAGTTGATGTAGCTACCTGGGGATGGACTGAAAACAAAATATTTGCTTGATCGGTTGACAGATCTCTTTCTTTGTTTTCATTTTCCCTTTTGAACCAGTGTCTGTGACCAAAGTAACAACAATGTTGTTGACCGGTTTGCCATGAATCTTTTGTCCTCCATGCCTCCAGATGCCATAATCTTGCTAAGAGGGGACCTGCCTGGGAATTCTCTTCGCTACTTGCATCATTGTGAGGGCATAAGACCTGATATCACCTTAATTGACCAAGAGGTCAGTAGAAAATAACTTGGTATCATGGAATGACTGCAAATCAGAAGTCCACATTTTGGATTTTGCTTTTAAAGTCCCCATGGAAATACTAGATACAAGATAACTCAGTGTGTCTTAGCATCTTTATTCACAACTGAATAGAAATCAGCATAGGATAATGCTGTCTCTTTTGCCAATTTCTATTTTACCATATTGCATCTGTTCTGGGTCATTGGTGAATTGTGTTTTCCTGATTTATGGCTGTGCTTCTTGTTACAAGAACATTATTGTGCAACTAACTGGGTCCTATAGAACTGAATACTTGAAACTAGCCTCTGGGCTAGTTTCTTGCTTCCAAGGGAGGAGGGATGCTGGCAAAAACAGAAGGCAGGTTCAAAAGCTGTCAGTCTTCTTTGAATGCTGCAGTGAAGGAAAGTGGGGATGTTGCACCCTACAGGAAAAAATGTAGAATATTTTTAAAAGAGATTATCAAAACGTTGATAGATGGGGCAAACGCTGGGGAAGAAATGGTTATAGTGGAGGTTGGCTAGCAACAAAGGGAAAGGAGTGTGCCCACACCTCTCAACAGTTCCCAAACTCACCTCCAATCATACCGATAGGTTTTTGCCTTCAAGAAAATGGGTAATAAGGTCTGGTGACAGTTTTGCAGTACTGCAGGCTAACTCTGCCAACAATCTGGAGTTTGATCCTGACAGGGCTCAAGGTTGTCTCAGCCTTCCATCCTTCTGAGGTTGGGAGAATGAGGACCCAGATTGTTGGGGGCAATATGCATTGTTTACATTGTAAACCACTCATGAAGTGATGCATATAAGTCTAAATGCTATTGCTGTTACTATTTTATTCAACTTTTATTTATTAAAATATTAAATATTTCTGTTTATTACTAATAAATGCTACCCACCTGGCGGAGGTGACTCTAGGTCAGGGCTCCCCAACCTTTTGTGTATCAGGGACTGGTTCCATGGAGAGAGGTTTTTCCGTGGACCAGAGGGGGGCGTGGTTTCTCATGCTGCCTGTATTCTGCAGATGGGGCTTTGCTTGTTCTGGCATGTCCCATGATGGTCCACAGACCCAGGGTTGGGGATCCCTGTTCTAGATGACTAGCAGTCATACAATAAAAATATGATATAAAAATTAAAACAATAAATAGACCATAAATTTAAAATTCAGTTTTCATTCAGTTTTAAAATCACCTTGAGACTTTTGTTAGGCAATGTCAGAAAAAGAGGGATAGCATGACTATAACACAAATACATCTTAAAGGGACTTAAGCCTGTTCCATTGGTAGGCTGGAACGAATGAAGAACGTTGCCTTGCGGACAAAGACCATGATCTAGCTAGAGCGTGATCAAGAGAAGACAAGGCTATAATTACAGCTGCCTGTTTGCAACGCCACCACAGTCACTTTTACTAGTTGTTGTTGCACATAGCAATTTGCCGACAACAGGTGCCTGCCCTCAAGGAACTTATCCGTATCTAAGCCACCATTCTCCTTCTTTGTGTAGACTAGAGATCTGTTTGTTGGGACTACAAATCCCATATTCTCTAAGCAACATGGCACAACTATGGCCATTCTGGTTAAGGTGGGGTGGTAGGCAATTATAGCCTAAAATGTCAGGAAGATACCAGATTGGGAAAGACTGTTCTTCTGCTGTGAGTACTTAGGGAGAGACAGATGTGAGAATGTATGTGCATGAATTTCTGTTCCCTATATCTTGTTGTCTTCAGAAAGTCAGGGTGAAGCAACTAATCCTCTGCAGATTATTCAGACTAAGGTTCCCATAGTCCCTTTTTGACCAGTGTGACTTATTAAAGCAACCACACCACTTTTCAGACTTGAGGGGAAACCGAAAGCTGTATGCAGATGTGATAAGCAGCAGAGAGGTGTTTTCTTGTGAATGATCTGAAGTATTTTCAGTACAGTCACAAATAAAACTTACCAATGCATCAAATCTCAGAAAAACAATTACCAAAAAAGTGAAATAAATGGAAGATGACCTTAAACAGTGCAAAGTGATTAAAGTTCACAACTCTGTCCTCTAAAACAGGGCTTTTCAACTGGTGGTACGTGTACCACCTGTGGTACATTAGCACGTAGCAGGTGGTACGCAGTCTTGCCCAGCCAATGTAGTGGGGGAGGGGATGAGCCAGCACAGACAAGGACTTACTATGAGAGAGTCCTCTGGAGCTGCAGAGTGGCTGGGGCGAGGCAAAGGCCCCAGGCTCACTTCCGGCTCACCCGGAAGAGAAAGGAGGAGGAGGGGGTGCAGAGACAGGAGAGGCTATAAAAGGAGGCAGTTTGGAGGGAGAGGGAGAGAGAAAAAAAGCAGCAGCCTTGGAAGGAGGCGGAGTCAGCTCTAGCTGCACTGAAGGGAAGGAAGAAGAGGGAGGAGGGTGGGAGGAGAGGAGATCAAGCAGGCTATGAGCTGATCTACAACTGCTGTGGCAGCCACCTGTGCTAGCGGCAGCAAACAGACAAGAAACATAGCGGGGGAGGGGTCACCCTCCACTAGGAATGAAAAAAGGCAACAATGAAGAAAGGCAGCATTGGCTGGAGGTGAGGCATGGAGGAGGGAGGGAGGGAGATGGAGAGTGGACGGATTCTTATGTGCTTTTTTGACTTTGAAGTTCTGGGATTTGTGCAATGTGGGCTTTGGGTTCTTAAGGAGTCTTTGGCAATTTCTGTTTGGCTGATGGTTGATGTCCCATGTTAGCTTCTATTGTTCTGCTATTGTTAGCTGTAAGTTTTGCTGCAAGGGATTTTGAAGTATTTTTCTCCTGAATGGATTTTGCCTGTAACATTCTTTACTTATGAATGGAGCCTTTTGGGGAGGCTGCCTTAGCCAGCAGCCAGTACTTATTTACATTTTTTTTCTTAAGTGCTGGCTGCGGTCCTTAACTTTCCTTTCTAGCCAGTAGCTAATTCTTAAAGGGGAATGCGCCTTTTAAAGCTAGTTCCCTCAGTGGCTTCTCTTTTCTGTCTCTGGAGGCTTTTCCTTGTTTGATGAATATATGGAAGAGGGAAAATATGGGGGGAGGTTCAAATTCTTCGTTCAGAAGAAATATAAATCACATGACCCTGGGCATGCTGCAATGGTCATAAGTGTGAAAAATGGTCATAAGTCATTTCAGTGCAATTGCAACTTTGAACATGATTTTTTTTTTTGATCATCAAGTTTTGACACCTTGCTAGGTGGTACTCGAATATTGCCATATCCTTAAAGTGGTACAGTCGGTGAAAAGGTTGAAAAGCCCTGCTCTAAAAATCATTAAAGATACTTCGTGCTACACACGAAGTAGTTTTTATGTTCTAAAACCCAGGATCACCTTGCCTTTAAATGTGGTTCACCTCTCCTCCAAAGCAGGCTGGGAATATCAAAAGAAAAACTTTGGGTCATGGTATGTATGAGATGTTATTCTACCTTTTCACAGATGTCCTACAGGAAAGAATTTGTTCTCTGTGTGTGTTTATGTGTGTGTTGGTGTGTGCATCCGTGTGTCTAGAGAGAGCAAGGGAGCGGAGGCATATGTGTGCTGGCTGAGGAATAGTAGAAAGAGTGGTATGTAAATATTTTAAATACATACAATTTCTCCCATGTGCTAGATGATGACTTACCATTGGTATTTGCCAAAGCTGGCTAAACATTTACCTGGTGTCATCTTTCCTGGAGACCACTGGAATCCTGTAGAAGGGCCATTACCTGATGGAACAACCACATTCAACCTTCATCACTTCCTCAAAGTAAATAGACAGTAAGCATTTATTTTCACCTACTAGCATACAGACACACGTGCACGCATGGCTAAATACATACCTGTCTTCTTATTCCCTGCCATGTTAAACAGTGTTATACAGTGTGCGTAAAAAGGAGTAAGTGATGTAAAGTCAAGGATATGAATGGCTTGAGATAAAATTAAAGGAAACATAGCTAGCCTTAATTTATGTTTACTCTCACTTCTGTATAACAGTGAGGGCCATTTTTACATGTAGCCATAGATGGTCATTTTCATTTCTTCACAATAGAATAGAATACACACTATCATCTTTTGTTTCAGTATTTGCATTTAAATGCTTAAACATTCATCCATTCTACCAAGGTATACAAATTCATCTACTTGCTTGTTTATTACCATGTGTGTATAACTTGCAGTGATTCATTCCATTTTCCTTGACAAATGTTGATATAGATAGTCCTTGAAGTAGCAGTCTAAGGCACTAGGCTAAAAACTGGGAGAACATGAGTTCTAATTCTTCAGTAGGCACGAAACCAGCTAGCTGGCTAACTTTGGGCCACTCACACTTTCTTCAGCCCTAGGAAGAAGGGAGTAGCAAACCATTTCCCAAAACTCACCAAGAAAATGCATGGACTTGTCAAGACAAGATATACTAGGTGTCCAGATTGATTCGAAGGACCCCCCCCCCCAAATATTACATAATATTTTTATATTCATTTTTGCACCATCAACTAGGGTGGCGTATGCAGTCAGTGCTCACATAGCCAGAGACAAACAACAAATACGCTTTTGTGGCTACTGGTAGGGCAGGTGTGTCTCTATATACAAGTGAGAAATTTATCGGGATTTTGTTGGAGTGTAGTGCTAATTGCGTGGAGTACCTAGGGTTTTGCTAGAAGCTAATTTGATCTAATGGTTAAGGCACCAGGCTAAAAAGCAGGAAAAGTCTGAGTTCAAGTCCTCCCTTAGCCATGAAAGCCAGCTAGGTGACTTTGGGCCAGTCACTCTCTCTTAGCCCAGCCCACTTCACACAGCTGTTGTTGTGAGGAAAGTAGGAGGAGCAAGATGTGCTGGATTTATTCGCCATCTTCAGTTATTTATAAAAAGAATAAAGATGAGATATAAATAAATAAATAAATAAGGACCATTTTTAATTAGCAGTATCACTATCTTGTGTTTTTTTATGGTAACTTAAAGCAATTGTGAACACATTCTGTCTTATCTTCCACTCAGTAAATTATTCAATTATTGTTCAATTTCTATAGCCACCCATCTCAGTCAATGACTCAGGGTGACTTACAATTAAAAAATAATACATTGGAAATAAAACATTAAAAGCATTTTAAAACAATAAAAACATTAAAATAGAAAGATCCAAATTAAATATAGATAGCAGCCAGAATACTTGGCCAGTTAACAATATAGCCAGGAAACAGGGCCCTTAACACATTCAGCACCCCAGCTGTAGGAACATAACCAGGTTTATAGAGCCTTATGAAAGGCTAACGGGGTAGTTGGAATAACAGGTGGCCCACAGTCAGGTAACATTTCCTGTTCCTAACCTGTTGCTCTCTTGGAACAGATTCAGACAAGGGTAGTAAGGATGAGCAGCAAACTAAAATAAGTTCTGTGAAGGGGCTGGAAATTATTAGTCTTGAATTACTCAATTGGTGGTTGTTTTGAGAGTATGGAAGGATATCACACAGAAAAGGTCTAAGACCTGTTTTCTATCATTTCAGACAAAGAATAATTAATTTAAGTTATAGAAGAAAAAATTCTAGTTGAATATTAGGGAAAATAGTCCCAAATAGTAAGATCACCTTGATCAATTACTCTGAGAGATGGGATATTCTTATCACTGGTGATGTTCAAGTAGAAGATTACTGAGTTGTTGCCTGGAGCAAAGGGTTGGGTTCAGTAGCCTAAATGGCCTCTTCCTGTACTGAACATCTGTGAAGTCTTGAAGTAAACTCTCCAATCCTGCACCTAGCAGCTGGACTATGCACAAGATTAGACAAGTATTTCTAATCAGTTACACAACTGAAACTATTCAACATAAAGCAATCAGCACTCCTAGCTTTCTTCATATTAGTTGCTATTAGTGCTATCATAGGCAAGAACCATTGTACAAGTCCACTTACCTGTTTAATTATTAATTTCTTTGGGTTTTTTTTTTTTTTTTTTGCAATAGCAAAGACACCTTTGTTTGTATTGGACTCCATGAAGGTGACCCTACCTGGAAAAAAGACTATTCCCTTTGGCCCTGGGGCTCTTGTGATAAACTTGTATCTTCAAAAGCTCCCTTTGATCCTGAAATGTGGATTGAGCGTACCCAAAATCTCTATAACTGGACTGAGGAATATGGAAGGTAAGTGACACATAGTTGATAGTAGCTTCTAAAAAGTTGCAAGAAGGGAGTTGGAAGAGTGCAAATGTGAAACCTCCTACCCTTCATTCTTTTTGTCATTAGTGAAGATATAGTGGTAGCATCAAAAGTATATTTGGTATGGATCCAGAGAAGGTTTGGATAGAATCGCCAAGAGCTGGACATGACTGAAGGGATAACATCATCATACTTGTTCCCATTTCCTCAACTGTATCTGGAAAATTTCAGTTATCCTGTTCATGCTCTGTCTTTGGGGGACCTCTATCTGTTTTTGCATATCAACTTACCTGTTTCTTTTTAAGGTTTGACTCATCTTCCTGGGAGTTGGTAGCAAATGAAGAGATGTGGCAAGCCAGGTGAGAGCCTGTTCCCTTCCCATGTTTCAGAAAAGGCTTGAAAGAGAGGATAATCATATCAATCTACATACAAATTAATTATATTGCACATTGTAACACTGAGTAGATAAAGCTCAGAGGAAGCATGGTGAGAATCTAGGAAGCAGAAGCTGGTGTCTAGCAGAAAAATGGAATATTACCTTGAGTTAATAAATTAAGACAATTGGTGCCCTTCAGATGTTCTGGAGTGCAACTTCTAATGCCATACCCAGTAAACACCAGCTTAGTATAGTAAACTGGGATACAATCATCCCATGGGGAAGTAGAATCCTGCCTTCTCCTTTATGGATGTCAGTTGCTGTTTAAAGAATATACAGCTCCCTTCTGTTTTTTTTTTCCCTCCTAGGATGAAAACAGCCTTCTTTCTTTTTGACCTTGCAGAAACTGGTTCCCCCTCTGTGAAAGAGAAAGCAAAGCTTTACACGCTTGCTTATAAGGTGAGCACTTTTCACTTTGGGAGAGAAAAGCTCAAGCTGTCTATATGTTTGTGCACGATAACTCATAAGTCTGGGGCAGGAATCATTAGTAATTTTGCACTATGTAATGAGTGCAGTCAAAAAGTGGATGCAGTAGGAAACTGGCTATTCAAAATGGGTGTCAGGGTAGGTCAATCTTAACGCACCTGTTTAGATTTTTTGATGTGTTTTGATGTGTGAACTTCAACTTCCAGTATTCCCAAGCCAGGTGATGGCTGGGAGTTTCTGGGAGTTGAGACCTACATGTCTGAAAATTGTCAAGGTTGAGAAACACTGTACTAGGTTATTGTGATGCTCCCTTTCATCTGAGTGGGCCAATTACCATGCCCTCAAACATCCCTGAAAGTCATTATTTTGCTAGGGGGCTGAGGCCTTATAGCATACCAGCTTCCTATTTAAATTTTTTTTTGATAAATAAACTGTATAAAATGTCATTTGGGCACCAAGGGATGCGCCTGGGGTCTGGGTGCTATTTATTCCTGTGTTTATATGGTTGATTACTGTTGCCCTTTCCACTGGTTCCAGTCATCAGATCGATTTATATAAAATCGTATAGCCACAACCAGGAGATCTATTTCCATCTGTCTGGCCACTAGGCATAAGGCTGGATTGGTATCTTTTCCTCCCTGCCATCATCTGCTTTAGGGCTCTGAATAGGGCATGATAGCTGCAGGATCCAATCTGGGTCAGTCACAGGGACCCCAGTTTTAGTCTTCCAAACTTTCGGACTCATGCTGAAGCCCATTCTCAGGGAACTTCTCTCTAGCAAAGTGTTCCTACAGAGAGAAGTTCCCTGAAGATGGGCTCCAGCATGAGTCCAAAAGCTCGGAAGACTAAACTGCTGGTCCCCGTGACCGACCCAGATTGGATCTTGCAACATTATCCTCGGATACGTATATTTGCCTTCATTCGTGAGGGCAATGATAGCTGTTTCTACCTCACTGCTCTTGAGTGCTGCCTCTAGATAGCTGGAGAGGTTCTCCTTCAGTTTGCCCCAGAACTATGGGACCTTTTCACTGTCTTGTGATAGCAAGCCAGGTGCCACAGCTAAGCTTACTTGGGAAGGTTAGCAGACTAGTGGGATGGCAACTATGAACGTCCACTTAAGGTAGTGCCTTGATGTTCCTCTACTGGAGTAGGATCTCATTTTACAGTTTGTAGAACCAAGCAGAAGCAGGAAGGTATTTCCAGTGAGCAAAGACAGAGCCAGAGCCTCTTTCATGGGTGATTAGCTAAAGAATAATATCACAGTAAGTTTTCTATGTCTTCCCCCCTCTTGAGAACTTTGGTCATGCTTTGCTACCTGCAGGTCTTGTAACTGTGTGAATATGAAGAAGGACTGGGGTTGCTTCTGTATCAGTAGCAACTCAAGTGCATGTACATGTACATTTTTTCTTTCCACTCTCCCACATTTGAATAATGGTGACCTAGGAATAAAATTGATACAATTTAGAGAAATAACCCAAATTCAGCTCTTTTGCTGTTTTCATAGGCAGAATGGCTCCGCTAGAAATAAAACACATCTTCAATTCATTTTTGCTTATCCTCACCCTTTTGCTCTCTAGCTTCTCTCTGTTACTTCTCTCTTCCAGTTTACCTTTCAGATTTATCCTTGGGATTATTATTCTTTAGTTTCCCCCTGAGAATCCTACATCTTTATTCCTCTTTTCAGTTGGATGACATCAGAGCAGTTTGCCCAATCATCAGCCGCACACATGAAACCTCTTAGCTCAAATCCTATACACACTGACTGGGGAGTGCTTAGCAGGGCTTATTTCTGAATAGAAATGCAGAGAGTTGCATTTCATGGTTTAAAACATATGCTCATAAATGGTGTCCTATTTTTCTTCAGTTGCAGAGACTTTATTTTATGTAGATGCTGTTTATGCCATGCTTGACTATTTTAAAAAAAATGAGGAAATATTTGTAATACGGGGAAATGATATATCTGAGAATTCTCTTCAATCCTGAACTGTCTTCTGTGATTTACAGCTGTACAAGGAAATTGTAAACACGTATAAAACTCATCCAGTGAACTGGCACAAAAATTACGCTATTGCCTGTGAGAGGGTGCTGCATCTTCACCCACCAAGCGAAGACCCAGAAGTGCTACTCTTAGCAATCATCAAACACTTCCACCTTTACTTGGAGAAAGCTGCAGATGATCCCCAGCAGAGCAGTATTTTGCAAGCCATAAAGCATATGAAGAAAGAACTTCGGGAACTGAGAAAAGTGAAAAAGGCAGCGAGGCGACCAGTGTAGGACATGTTGAGCTCAAGGAAAAATCTGTTGGAAAGGAAATGAAGAGTAAGAGAAGGATTCCATAGACGGAAACAAAGCAAGCTTAAATGCAGTGTTTTAGATAGGAGGAAAAGACTAATCAAGAGAAGGGCTTTTGTTGATATAGAGAAGCATAAACATAGGTTGGGGAAAATGAATTGGGATTTTTCTCTCTTTTGATGTTACAATGTGTAGGAGGTCATTAAATGAAGATGAACGTTGGAGATTCTAACTGAAACTTCTTAACACAGTGCATTGATAATTAGAGCACTGGTGGCTCAGAATGAAATATTGCAGGCTAACTGCCCATAGTCTGGAATTCAATCCTGACTGGCTCAAGGTTAATTCGGCATTTTTATTCTTCCGAGGTTGGTAAAACAAGGACCCAGATTGTAGGGGGCAATGTGCTGACATTATAAACTGCCAGAGAGTGCTGTGAAGCACTGTGGAGCAGTATATAAGTCTAAGTGTATTGCTGTTGCTAATTTGCTTCCCTGGTTTATGGCTGCCAACTACAGTCGGGTGAGGTCAGCTCTGATTATAGGATACATTTACATTGTATTGTTTTCTTGTTAACAATATGGAAGCTGTCTTCTTCTGATATGGTCCTTTAACTTTCCAATCAAGTGCACAGTCTTGGCATTTACTTGGTGGTCTCCCTTCACATACTAAGCAAGATTGACCCTGCTTGGTTTTTTTAAGAATCAGGTATGTTTGATTAGGCATTGTCACTTGCTGTAAACATGGCTAACAGATGGGATAAAAGGACACAAGGCAGATTTATATTGACAGAGAGTCATACCAAGCTTGGAGCATCTCAAAAGCGTTCAGTTGAGTACTATTGGGAGTACAGTGTTGGACTTGAGATGTCTCTGATCTGACTAGCAGGATACTCATATGTTCTGTTTGATTTATCCATTTGTATATGTTTATGTGCTACTGTTTAGTGATAACATCAGAGTCAAGATCTTAATAGCAAAAACTGACCTGACAAAATTGGCCTTTGATAATCATAGAATTCATAGAAGTTAATGGAAGTTTTTCCATTGTTTGTGTGCATCACTCAAACATCATGGAGAGTGTTTAATTTAGAAAAACAAATGCTCCTTTTAAAGATCAGGCATGTCTACTTAGGACCAGCTTATCTCTTGAAAGCCAGTGGTCTCTGTACCCCCAACTTATTTTCATAAGATAAAATTTAAACTATTTGCAACTTTTTCTGAATAGATATGATTTGACTAGAATTAGTACTACAGGTAATCCTTATTTAGTGACTGCCTTGTTTAGCAACTGTTCACAGTTACAATGGTGATGAAAAAGTAACTTTGCTATCAGTCCTCACATTTACAATTTTCAGTCTGTAAAGCAAAAGACAGTTGAAATAAGATCATAAGCAGAGATGTGGTTTCATTTACTGACATCTTCACTTAATGACCAAGTTGCTGATCCCAATTGTGGTCATTTAAAAAGGACTACGTGAACTCTAGTCACCTCAGAAGTAGATTACTATAGAAAAATTCAAAATGAATGGACCATATTTTAGAAATTGAATATATATTATGAATATCAAAGGTCTCAACTTCAATCACCTACATTTCTGCAAGAAAAAGCAGAGGTGCAGCTGATAGGAATTATACTGTATTTCTGTCAGATTTTAGAGAGCCATTGATAGTAGTTTCAGGTATTTAAAGTAAGTTGTGAGGGGGCTAGTTCACAAACAATAGTGAAAAATTGGATCACTTCTTACACTTCTGAGAAGAGCTGTACTTTCATACAGTTTTTTCTACTCAAAGTGCTGATTTTGAGCATTAGAATCCTCTACCTCTATCCTTTTTGGACCAGATAACTTTAAGGACTTATAATTTCTATATAAACTTCTCTGATTTCTGAGATCTTCCTTGGATAATGCCTGCCAGTTGAAGTAAGATAGGCTCGAGATGGGTTATATCCAAACTTGGACATCGTGTGTAACAATGTGAAAATGGAACTGTGTATTTCCAGTCATAATGTTGTAGTTCTGCTACAGGAGGGAAGGCAACCCATCAAATAGTTTTCTTACCGTTGTCAAATGTCATTAGTGGCAGAGCTCTGATAAATATCTTTTTATTGTTCCACACATTTTAATTGTAGATTTTTATATTGTTCTGATCCAGCTTTGTTTTATTTAACCTCTTTTGTAGCTTTTGAAGGATGCTCTTGATGTTTATTTATATAATACTGTTCTTTCGGATTTACTAGTTGCACTGAGGGATTTTTATCTGAATAACAACATGAACATACATTTAATAAATAAGTAAATTCTTGTATTTCCAGTCTATCTTGTTGAAGTGCTCTTGTTATACAATACCTGCATTTAATTCCATAACTGAACTGATAGAAAATCAAAAATAGCCTTTTGTGCCTTCACTTGCAATCTCATCAGCTATATATTTTCTCTGGATCATCATATTTTTGCATCAACTCATAAAAGATGGATTTGCATCATAGAACATGAAAATCTTTTATAGAAGGCATTTCTATGTAAACAGGATGAATGAACCTCTCTGGAATATTATGAATTTTTTGCACATGTTAGAGATAGGTTCTTGGGGTGTGACCATCACATCTTGTGTGACCATTTCATCAAGAATATAAAGACCACGTTCTTTTGTTCATTAGAAATTATTCTAATAACCATGGCTCAAACAGGAAAGATGCCTTTTTATTCTTGCTTTAGTTAATTCTCTCATGATAAAAAAACTGTATTTTTTTCTACGTGGATAGCAACTGATGGTAAAAGGAGATAAAGATTTTTTTCTCAGATTCCAAGGAGAATTCCAGTATGCATTCTAAAACTGAAACTATGAAAGGATTTGTTCCCAGAAATCTTGTTTATTACTTGGATATTTATTTTATTCTGTTCTTTTTAATTCAACATGGAGATATTTTCTAAAGCAACTCTAGAAATTCAGTGTAAAGGCACTTCCTCCAACACACTGTGCACATAGAGAGACCTCTTAATAAAAAGCAGTAGATAAAATTTTCAATTGCCTAAAACTATGATAGGCAGCAGAAGTTAATATTTGTGGATTCATCTAATGGTGATCGTAGTATATGAAAGACTGACAAAATGTAAGATGAAAAGATGGTAAAAAGCATAAATTAATAGAGGAAATGAAGAGAAAAGATGCATATTTTGAAAATTAAGAAAAGGAAGGTTTAATAGATGAGAAAGAAGATGTTCTGATCTTAGGGAGTGCGCCATCATTATTCAAGAAAAGATTAAACAGCCATTTGTCCAGGGCAGAATTCCTGCATTGCAAAAAAAAAAAAAAAAGATTGATTAAAAGACCTCAAGGTTCCTTCCAGCCCTAACATTGTACATTTACAGTTCTGTCTTGGGGTTAATACAATAAAGAAGGTTCAATAATACCTGAATAAAAAAAGGACTCTAATGTGATTTATTCCATTTGGATCTTCCATAGCTGCTCAATTTGCTCCCTATAAAAGAAATGACTGTTGTTCAGCTCTGTATACAGTATAACAGAATAGCAGAATAACAGAATTGGAAGGGACCTTGGAAGTCTTCTAGTGACCAGTCCAACCACCTACTCAGGCAGGAACCCTTATACCATTTCAGACAAATGATTGTCCAATCTCTTCTTAAAAACCTCCCGTGTTGGAACACCCACAGCTTCTGGAGGCAAGTTGTTCCACTGATTAATTTTTCTGTCACGAAATTTTTCCTTAGTTCTAGGTTGCTTCTCTCCTTCATTAATTTCCATGCATTGCTTCTTGTCCTGCTTCCAGGTGCTATGGAAAATAAGTTGACCCTCTCTTCTTTGTGGCAGCCCCTTAGCTATTGGAGCACTGTTATCACGTCACCACTGCTCCTTCTTTTCATTAAACTAGTATGTCAGGAACAGGCCGGGGTCTCTGAACAGGAATCATACTTGCAAAATGTAAATTTCTCAGCTGGCCCCCTTTATCTGCAACAAACAGATTGGATCAATGGCCAACCTGGTTTGGTACGTGTTTGAAAGAGACCAAACCATCCTGCCAGCAGACTGAGAGCTGTTAATTCCATATGGAATGTCTAGATGAGCAGAAACCTTCAGAAGCACTGCCCTAAATAATCAAGGAGAGATAGGGGCTATTTGACAGAAATTTAATTTTGATTGCTCTCATGTAGCATCGCTCTGCTAAAGAGGATCAAATGAAAGGTGAGGAGAGAGAAAGAAAGAGACTATTCCACTAGGCTCAGTTGCAGAAACCGGTTGCCAAGTAAAGGCATTTTTGCATTCTTCCTCATTACTTTCCTATTTGTGTTTTCACCTCCCTGTTTGTTCACTTGTAGATCTGGTCCTGTAATTAGCTGCAGAACCTACAGCTTACATTTTGAAAGGGGGGCTTTTCATGGCAAGCTTCCCCCCCTTTTTTCCCCTTCTCCCCACCTTCTTTTTCGTGTGTGTGTGTGTGTGTGTGTGTGTGTGTGTGTGTGTGTGTGTGTGTGCGTGTGTTTATTCCAGCCTTCAATTCGTTTTTTTTTTTGTTACAAGAATCTTTCCCTCCTTACCCCACCTCCGCACATGAACTAAAAGGGAACAACGTTAAGAAATGCAAATAATGGCTCTTTCTTTGATTATGACAGTTAATTAATAGCAACCTGTTTTAATGAATTAAGTCACTCATGGCCCTTCAGCACTTCCTAAGGAGTAGCCAGAATCTGTAGGGATTCTTTTCCCCTTCCAATTGTATAGCGCCTAGACTCCCGAGCTCTATGTAGGCCCCTGTATAGAAATGTCCGCTTAATGATGAGGGAGGGTTTTCCAGCTTGCCTGCATTCAAAGATCACTGGTGAGCTATTCAGAAGCAGAAAAGGCCCCTTCTCCCCTGGCGAGGAGTAGTCACAGTTCCGCACCATTGTGTTAGCCGAAGTCCTTGATCAAAGGCCTCCTAGTGAACTCAACTGGGCTCTCTTTCAGACGACGGCCATAATTAAAGCCACTAATTCTCTTTTAAAAGTGCTGCAGGATGCCATGTAGGCATCTGTTTGGAGTGCCCTTTGTGATGTCATAAGCTGTTAAGGGCTGGGGAGGGGGCAGGGAGGGAGCTTTTCTGAGCCAGATGCCAGTCAGTGAGGTGCTTCATGACAAGGGTCCCTGTGAAGACCTTGACAAGGTCCTGACTGCACAATTCCCAGCCCTGAATTTTTTCCTTCTTAGCTGCTGGGAACCAACCCTCGAAAGAGATCTGGACTTTTTAGGAGATGGGGGTGGAGAAGTGCCAGTTGTGGTGGTGGAGGTGGCATCAAGGGCAGCAAAGAGCTCCATTTTCATCACCCCATCTTGTAGGTCTTGATTGGTTTGGGCGGGTCATCCAGGGAAGTCCTCTTGCCCTCCCATCCTCCATGGGCTGAAGGTGCCCAGCGGAGTTTGCAGAGTGCAGGGAAGAGCCTTTGAAGAGCATCAATGGATGTAACAGTTCAGCTGTTAAGGAGACAAATACGTGGAGGAGGCTCATTAATTCCTTTTGGCTGTCTCTGTGCCTTTTGCCCTTTTATCGCAGCCTTATTAGTCTCCTACTCATCTTGAATGGGGAGGGGCTGGTGGGGAAATGAATGGGAGCTGTTGAGTGCTAATTGGAAAAGGCTTTTAATCACAGGCTAAAGACTTTACAGTGACTTGAAAGTTACTTCTGCCTGGGAAGGGGCCCTCCCTACATACACAGAGACAGACAGTCATTTTAATCTATCTACCAAGGCATTAAAAAAGAAAACTCCATTGACTTTAAAGGAATCTGTTGGTCTTTAAGGTAACACAAAACTGCTGTTTTGCTTTTAATTGGGTATTTTATGATAATAAGTACATTTATAAAAAATGAAGTGTGTGTGTGTGTATGACTGATTCAGAAGCTGCTTCAGTTGAGGTCAAGAGTAGGGTGTATATGTGTGTGTGTGTGTATTTTCTGAGGTTTTCACGGGTGTTTGTATGTAGGTCTTTGGTTATTCGGGTTTTCTCCCGCGTCAAATTGGAAGTGTCTTGGCAACGTTTCGACGAAGTCTCATTCGTCATCTTCAGGCTGGTGTTTTTGGCTTTGTGCTTCTAGGAGCAAAGAAGCACGAAGCCGAAAACACCAGCCTGAAGATGACGAATGAGACTTCGTCGAAACGTCGCCAAGACACTTCCAATTTGATGTGGAAGAAAACCCGAATAACCAAAGACATACATACATACATACATACATACATACATACATACATACATACATACTGTATACACACATACACACACACACACACACACATACTGATTCAGAAGCTGCTTCAAGAGTAGGGTGTACAATAGAAAGAATGGGAGTAAGGTGAAAGAGGTATATTTCCAATTTGGCTTCTATATCCTGTCTTCCCTGCATTTATTGGAAAAGTAAGAGGCCTGTATGGCCTCAGCTGACTCAATATGTTCAAACTACTGTGAGATGAGAAACTAACCATGACTAGCTACAAATCTTCAGTAATTATATGTAGATTTAGATGGATTTTGCATATGTATAAGAAAACTGTCTTTCTTGTAATCCACCAGGAGATTAATAGGGATCTAGTAAGAAATAAGATTGTGGGTCTTGTGAAATTTAAGTTTGATTATTTTTCCTGCAGGTTATCAGATTCAGGATCATCAAGCTTCGGTTATCTTGACATTCAAATATTCTTCTCTCTCCTGCATTGGTTCTTTTCTATCACTGTTATTTTTACCTGCAATAGGTAGACAGTAGCTACTTCAATCCTGAGAGCTTTCTAGCAAACAAGGATCTTGATTAATGTTATCCATTACTGGATCACAATTAATGTTATCCATTACTAGTGCAGTGTAGTGAATAATAGACTTCTTCCTTTGGGGGGAAAATCACAGAGTTTCAACTAGAGCATCATCTGTAATAAAAGGACTGTCCAATTACCATGATTTTGCCAGGCACAAAAAATCAGGAACCAGAATTATTTAAATGAGTACAAGTTTATTCCATGCCATTCCTAAACAAGAATCTGAACTACTGAAGGTCAAGGCGAATTAGCGGTAGATAAGAGTCAATGGAATTCAAGGGGGGCTGGACTTAGATCTCTTGTGGGCACGAAGGGATTCCAAATGGATGATGCACTTGACACCCTCCCTCTTGCAGATTTATCCAGAAACTATGAAAACTATGAAACTATGAGAATGTCTCAACAATAATTTCTTGTTTTTGGTTTTCTTCTTCAATTTTCACAGTTCCTTGTAAATCTAAACTTGTACAGGAAATGACACAATCCATGATAAAGTATTAGATAATTTCCCTTTTGTCTTTGAGACCTGTAGATTTGCCATCCATGAAGCTGTCTCATTTGCCTTAGCTGAGGAATCTTCAACTATGAAGATCTAGATGCCTTCAATGGTTTGTATAGAAAACAATATCCTGAAATACTCCTGTATCTCCAGTGTGTCCCATATTTCAAAATTTCTCATTGATATTTCACAAATTGTTCAGATGACTGGTCTGCATCTTATCACTCAGCCAATTTGAAAGGTGGCTAAAACCTCTATGCCAGGCGCCCACAGGCACTTGCTTAGCTCTTCCCTTCCTAGATGCAGAAGAATTGATGGCTGCTTTTTTCAACAGCAGGTAGTGGAAAGGGAAATGAATCTGAGGGAATCCATCATTTATTTTCCTTCACTTGACACACATTAAAAGTGTAAGGATAATGTTACTTACCAGCCTTGTTAGGGAGACATAGTAAGATTTGACCACAGGAATAGCACAATTTATGCTTGCATACTTTTCAGGGACTGAAAGATACTGTGTTAAAATAGCCACAAAGAAGACCTTCACTTCTTTAAGAATCCAGAAGGCTGGAGGGGAAAAGATTATGTTAGGAAGATTGCAGAAAGATGGCTTGTGGCTTTCTTATACAGTATTACAGGAAATGTCACCAAGATACGTAATTTGGGGGAGAAACAGTGATGGATTTCCAACAAGCAAACTTTCATTTAAAAATGAGCAGAGGGACAATGAGGGAACAGAAATGTGGAATGCTTTGCAATGAAAATGGAATTTCTAATTGGGCACAGTACCTATAGCTTGGAAAGTTGGTTAGCATCAATCAAATTATGAAATCATTCTAATGCACAGTCATTATATATTATTATTATTATTTATTTATAAGTCACTAGCTGGATTACACTGCAGGTATCCAGGATCCTTTTTAAATTTGAAAAATGGAATGACTCCTATTTAATTGGGGTTAATTCAAGCTCTTGATAAGCATGGATTGCTTACCCATTTCTCATTAAATAACCCCCAGTGATTCATGCATCATGCTAAGCCATAAAGCATGATTTCCCAGCACTGTGGGTAGATCCATCCAACGTACTGAAACGTCATCAAACAACATAATATGGCTTTGCTGTTGTTAATTGCGAAGTTGTGTCTGACCCATTGTGACCCCATTAACAACGTTCCTCCAGGTCTTCCTGTCCTCTACCATCTTCTGGAGTCCATTTAAGTTCACACCTACTGCTTCAGTGACTCCATCCAGCCATCTCATTCTCTGTCGTCCCCTTCTTCTATTGCCCTCAATCTTTCCCAGCATTAGGCCCTTCTCCAGTGAGTCCTTCCTTCTCATTAGGTGGCCAAAGTATTTGAGTTTCAACTTCAGGATCTGGCCTTCTAAAGAGCAGTCGGGATTGATCTCTTCTAGGACTGACCGGTTTGAATGCCTTGCAGTCCAAGGGACTCGCAGGAGTCTTCTCCAGCACCATAGTTCAAAGACCTCAATTCTTTGGCGCTCAGCCTTTCTTATGGTCCAACTTTCACAGCCATACATTGCAACTGGGAAAACCATGGCCTGGACTATACGATAATATGGCTTACTGTAATGTATAAAACCACCAGTTTTAAGGAGCTAAAACTTCAATATATAACAGATGTTTGTGTGTACAAGGTTTCCAGTCCAGTTTCTGGCATAGTCAGTTGGGAAAGTTTCTGCTTAGAAAGAAATCTTCTGTTCATCTCAGAAGATAAGAGTTAACTAGGAAAGCCAAAAGGATGACTCAGTTAAAGCCATTTTTAATGTCTCTCTGTGTCTTTTTGAATGTTTCTTTGCCTTGTCCTTTTACATATGCCTCAATAAGCAAACAATATAAATCTGGCTACATATCAGCAAACATAAAGGGGTGTCATATGTGGATTGCAAAGAAGTGAAAATTTTATTAAATTCCTGGACCACCATATTAGCCATACATTATCAATGCAAAGAAAGAAAAATTGTAGGTTACCATAAATCTTTTTCAAGTTCATGAATGTGTATGCAAAGTGTGACATCAGCAGTATTCAAATAAGAGCACGCTTTTTAAGCGATAATATGCTAAAAAGTAAGTTGTACTATGTGGGAAATTATTGCATGAAATTATTCCTGACATGTATTTATTTTGGTGACAGATAGTTGGGTGCAAAGAGAACAAAGTACAGAGACTAATAGCCTTCCTCCAAGATTCTACCTTAAGTAAGTCCTTGTTGCATTTTTTTTAGGAGGGGGTGCAGTTCGAGCATTGAACCAAATTTTACATGAAAGCAGATGAAGCCAGATGTTAGCAGGAGATGCCAATAATTAATTGGAGGTGCGGGAACCTGCTTTGGGTCCCTGCGTCCAGCAGAGGGCACACCAGAGAGGAATCAGGCAAAGGGGCCAGCCTTGTAATTGTTTCCATCAAAATATGTAGCTCCATGCTTGTGTGTGCATATTTACATTCTGGAATGTGGTTCAGAATGCAGGAATCAGATTTAAAACTTTGTTTCTACTTATCGACACACTGGAGACGCTGGTTGATTTGCAAGCTGCTCTATTTACAGATGCAAGCTGTTAAATGGTTGGATTTAATTGTCATACTAGAGTGGGCATGTTACTTATTTATTTATTGCTCCTTTGCCTTCTTTTCAAATGTAAAACACTGAGTTGTAAAAAACAAATAGAGAACGGAAACTGGCATTTTTTGGGGGGGGGACAATATTTGTTGAATACTATGAAACATACTACATATTTAGAAATATGTATTTGAAATTTATATGATTAATATTTCTGCTAGAAATATTAAGTTTGGCATTTCTCCCATGTGAGAATGTTTAAGATGACTTCATGTACTTGAACTTCACAACGAGACACCAAGGCAACAATCTTGCAAGCTTGACTAGCATTACTTGGAGAAAGTAGGTATTTTTTTTTCCTGAAAGATTTGGATATGCCATTGAAAAAAGGATTACTACTTGTAGGAGGTGCATTCATTCTTTTCTCTCTTCAGTATATTGTTTTAGCAAATTTCATATTATCCAGAAATCACAACAGTTTACTCAAAGGCCACAGTGGGTCAAAAGAAAGGTATGTTTATTGCCAGAGTTTTCCTCAAACCTTTTCCAGATCTCTTTTAGACCCATTTTGCAGATAAGGATTAAAAAAAAAGGCTGAAAGATGAGATCTATGAATTCCAGACTGAGATTAGATCAGAACTGAAAATGCCCGGTTCAATCCCTCATACTGACTGAGATGAAAATCTGCATTTTTACCAATTCAGGTGTTAAATGGAGGCTCACTAAAAGAAAACACCATTACACATGGAAAGCTACAATTTAATGGGAAAAAAATTACTACCGTGATGGTGATTGTTGCTTTCTTTCTGGCATAAAGAAAAATTTGACATGCCCCAGATTGCTGTCTGAAGGGATAGGGACCTAACACAGTACAAAACAATAGAAGCTATCTATGAACAAACCGGCTTTTGTTGATGTGTGTATGTACACTATATTTAAATTTTTCCAGATGGCAGCAGAGTACAGAATTTGCTAGAGCACAATTCTTCATATATTTTTTTCAAAAAGTGAGCCCAACTGAGTTCATTCAACTTTAATTTCAGGTAAGCAAGTAGGGAGTTGGTATCTGCACTGCTGATTAGTTTTTCAAGAGCTAGATTGTGCAATCTGCCCATCATCAGAAGAAGGGGCATTCAAATTCATTTGCTCCAAAATGGAGACACCTTATATCACAATTCTGAGCATTTGCCAACACAAAGTTGTTTACTTTGGTGGAGATTATGTCTTCAGAGTCTCAGGAAGTGAAAAATTGCTTGCCATCACTTGCACTCTTTGAACTGTTTTTCATGCATGCACTGGATAAAAGTGTCATCTCTATTATTTTTTCTCTCAAAATGACACTGTCAGGTCCATAAATTACAAAAAAGACTACAGGTAGTACTCAACTTACAACGGTTGATTTAGTGACCAAAGTTATAACGGCCCTGAAAAAAGTTACTTATGATCATTTTTCACATTTATGACCGTTGCGCCATCCCTGTAGTCACATGATCAGAATTCAGATGCTTGGCAACTGACTCATGTTCATGACATTTGCAGTATTCCAGGGTCATGGGATCAGTTTCTGCGACTTTCTGGCAAGCAAAGTCAATGGAGAAACCAAATTCACTTAACAACCGTGTCACTAACTTAACAACTGCAGAGATTCACTTAACGACTGTGGCAAGAAAGGTCATAAAATGGGTCAAAATTCATTAAGAAATGTCTCACTTAACAAAAGAAATTTTGGATTCAATTCTGGTCGTAAGTCGAGGACTACCTGTATTTGCACCCTCTGTTGTCAAGGAACCAGTTTCCTAAATTTGGTCTCCATTTTTTACTTTTGATAGCCACCCTGACTCTCTTTTAAATTTCATCAGCTTAACAGCAACAACAGCAATATAATATTTCCATTTAAATTAGACTGGATCAGTTCTAAATAAGGTAGTAAAAGAATTCAGGTACAGGATTTGGCTCATGATGGAATCACCAGGACAACACAAAGATTTGCTTTTAGCACCAATAGACATGGAGTGGCCTTTCAGGACTTCCCTGGAATGACCTAGAATATGCCGAAGAAGATAAAAAATTATTCTGGTGTCAAGTTTTTAAAGGTGAAAAGATATTTGAAAAAACCCTTCAGCTGCACATTTTCAGACATGGAGGCATGAACTCCATTCATTCAAACTGGCAAATATTTCTGTTTCTACTTGTAATCTAAATCAGTGTTTCTCAACCTTCTCAAGTTGAAGATGGGTTGACTTCAGCTCCCAGAATTCTCCAGCCAACTTTGGGAATTCTGGGAGTTGAAGTCCACCCATCTTTAACATGACAAGATTGAGAAACACTGATCTCAATGGTCCTGCATAGCAAACCTGATGGTAAATTTTAGCTCTGATGCAATGCTGGCTGGAAATTATGGAAATTGAAGTCCAGCACACCTGAACAAAACCCTGTAGGCAAAGACTATCTTAGACACCCCAAAGGCAGGATTTGTTGTCTTTCTGTAATTGCAAAGAGAATGATATCTTTGGAGGAAAAGTCAGACTAGGGCTTACATTATGCTTGGGTGGTGAGAAAATCTCTGACAAAATGCATTTCTCTAGGGCTGAAAATACGGTAATTGGACCCCACTGCAGAACCAGGGTTAGCTCATAAAATTAGGAATAATTATTTTCCCTGTTAAAGGCAAGCAGCACTATTTCCTCCCTAGAAATTCTCTTAAGAGCCAAGGTAGTGCTGTGATGAAGATTAAGAGGCTGAGCTAGAATCAAGAAGAGCCAGGATCAAGTCTGTCTGCATCCATGATAGCTTTCTGCATACATTGGGCTGATCATTAGCTTTTGACCTACTTCATTGAGCTTTTGCTGTGATAAAGAAATGAAGTTTAGAAGGATATACTATAGTGATTTCTCAAGCAATGGACAGATAGTAATCTAACATCAAATCCTGCTAAGGATGTCGCTTTCACAGAAACATTTAATCCAGTGTTTTTCAACCTCAGGAACTTTAAGAAGAGTGGACATCAACTCCCCAGCTAAGCTGGGGAATTCTGGGAGTTGAAGTCCACACATCTTAAGGTTGCTGAAGTTGAGAAACACTGATCTAATCAACTGGAAGGAAGAAGGACAGCTTTTGGTTTCAAGAATCAGGTTCACTGTCAGGGACAGAATTCAAATAAACTAGATGTTTTCTGTAGTACCCCAGAGGAATTTAATGTACTCTTTATAACATTAGAGTGACAGTTATGTTTCCAGATTCATGCTAAGCAATATCAATTCTAATAGAGCAGAACATGAGGTTGGGTTGCCATGCTTTGCAGAAGTTCTAGCTTCAGAAACATGATCTGGATAAAAGACCTGGTTGTCTTTTACAGATGAGCTGCATTGATAAGAAAACAGCCTTCATAAAGTGCAACTTAGAGCCACTTTGCTCTAGTGATGAAGACACCAGGCTAGAAAACCAGGAAGCCATGAGTTGAAGTCATCTTAGGCAAGAAGCTAACTGCTTTCCTTGGGCTAGTCACACTCTCTCAGTCCCAGGAAGGAGGTAATTGCCAACCACTTCCAAAATCTTGCCAAGAAAACTGCAGGGACTTGTCTAGGCAGTCTCCAGGCATCAAGAATGATTTGAAGGCACACACACACACATGCACACATATACACAAACTATTTCTATTTTGTGACTTGATGAACCCATGCCAGGGTGTGGAAGAGTCTGTGCTCACTAGATAGACTCGCTGTGCCTCATTTCATTTCTTTTAAGAAGCTTTCTGGGAAGAGAACGTGTGATTGCAGCCAGACCTTTCTGCCAGTTGGCAAGGAACAGTTTCTACCTAGAGTATTTTACTTTCATCCCTTATTGTAGAGGGCAACACAACTACTCACTAGGATTCTTCCTACTTCCCATTGGCTGGGGACCTTGAATCTGCTGGTAACTACAGTTGTTTTCTTGGCTCAGCACAAATTTTGCAGATTGTCCAAGCTTCCTTTCAAAGTCTTCTTTTTATGCTGGGGCAGCTTTCAAATGTATCTGTCTCCCTCCGAAGAGCCAACATGTTTATCTTCTGCATTTGTGTATAAACACCATATGCTTGGTGATGATTCTTGATATGGCTGGAAATTTAATAAAGCTGCTCAAATATTGTTGCAGTTTCAGCTTTTCCTTTCTTCTTGCCAAAAAGGAGGACTCTTCTGGTTTCATAGGCATCTTTCAACAACTTTAATTTCATTTGTAGATTAAGAATGGAAGTAGTATTTCCACTTGGTTGGCTGCTGGGGTTGAAGGAAACAAAAACATTCATTGTTTGCAAGATTTTGAAATGTCTTTCTTTCTTTCTTTCTTTCTTTCTTTCTTTCTTTCTTTCTTTCATTTCATTTCATTTTTCTAACATGGGATATTAAGCTGTAGGTGGCATTATATCTGATGTTTGGAGCACTCTTGTCAGGTGTTGAGTTGACAGGATTACTTTAACCTTATTTTAGATTTGGGAAGCGTTGAAAGGGGGAAAGTGCTGTTTGTTCATAAGGATGAATGCAGAAAGCATAAGAACGATTGAGCAAAACTACTTGGGTAACTAATTTTCCCACAGCGAAATGGCAGATATTTAGGGGAAATCCACTGACCAATCATAGCACCAGAACACAGTGGGTGATCAAAATAGTAGATGCAATCTTCTCATACATCACTTGGGGTTTTCCTGGCTTGTTAATGAGAGAGAGAGATTATGGAGTAATATTGTGACTGACAGTTTGGTGGATTCTATGCTCCAGGGACTTAAAAAAAATATCACACTAGGGGACAAATAGCTGAGCCCAAATTCTTCCTAAAGATAGAAGCAAAGGGGAAGAAAGAATACCAAATAGTCCCTTTCATTGTTTCCTCCCTCTTTGTTCCCAGAATAAAGACAAGACTGGAAGAAGTAAGATCCATTCTCCAAGATCCAACAAAGTAATAACATCAGAGATAATGCAACTAATTTCAGAGGAATCTTGGAATGTTCTGTTACTCATTCGCTCAGTATCCTGGATGGTTTTAGTCAGTGTTTTTGAACCATGATAACTTTAAGATGTGTGGATTTCAACTGCCAGCATGGTGGCTTAGGAATTCTGGGAAATGAAATCCACACTTCTTAAAGTTGCTAGGTTTTAAAAAAATGCTTTAGAATGGACTGATGCCAAACTCAATAAGACAGCCACAAACAAGGAGCAAAATAACCCCCCCATCAAACAAAATTGAGAAATATACCAGAGGTCCTAATAGACAGGTGATACATTTGTATGCTAATTGTCAACCATAATGATTCTCTAAGCAGCTTAATATCAGCTTTAGAGGACGTTGATACTATCCTGCAAAGAGTGGACCTGAATGCCAGGTGCAGTTAGTGGAATCCAACAATATTTTCATGTTCAGAATTTCTTCTCCAGCCAAGAGTCCTGAAAAATGAAAAGCTTTTAATTGGAAGCAATTATAATGATTGATAGAGGCAATTCATTTCAGATCCCATGCAAGAAAAAAAATTCTGTATTAAAATATACTGCTCAAAAAAATAAAGGGAACACATCCTATAGGATTTCTTATAGAATGTGTTCCCTTTATTTTTTTGAGCAGTATATAATAAATGCATACCAAGATATTTATCTCTAGTGCCTATATTCACAGGAGATGAGAAGATTTATTTCCTGCATCATCACCAGAGTAGTTGGTTAACACTGATTGTAAGCTGGTTCGAAAGACTTGGGATGCATAGTTTTAACAGATATGTGGGAGTGAAAGTATTGCAAAATACATCCAAGGGCAGTTTCAAGATCCTTCAGTGAGGAAATTAAAATGAATCTTTGTGATTTACCTAGCAAAGACTTCTTGCAGACTCACACTAGGGCTGCTTCCAGTATGTTCTGTTTGGTTAATGCTACAATTTCCTTGGGCTGTTAGGTATGTCAAGCTAATGGGTGTCCACTACAGTTTCTATTTTGTTTTGTCTTGTTTGCATTAATTGACAGATGACATTTTGTCTCAAGAGCAGCAGGAACACTTTATTGTGTCACATAAAGTGTGAAAATATGATACATATCTGTACATCTTGACATTTCATCTACTTCAAAGGAGTGCCAATTGAAAAACTAGAGTAGAAGCCAAGGATGAATCCGAGTGGTGAATCAACAGAGAAATGAGACCAGCAACTTTTGATAGTCTATGTGACAAGTCTAGTTAAATTTTCTGTGATATCAAATATAATTTGTATAATGTATGCACTGTATGTATCTGATCTGCCTTTTTTCTATTCTCTCTGTTTGGCTGGACTTTTTTTTTTTTTTTAACTTCTGAGCCAAACAAAGTTTGCAAATATGCTTTTTCAATTTCTCAGCTAATTGTGACCATATAGCTTTGGCTATGAATTATGATGGTGCTGTATTTGCTAAAAACGCAGAAATTGAGAATTCATTTGGATACCTTACATACAATCCCTCTTTCTTTCTTTTTGATATTATCATTCAAAGCAATATTTTAATTCTAAAATTCACCTGCTAATCCATAAGCTGCTGATATTCCAGAATCAATAGGATGGGATTTTGTGATTGTTGTTGTTATTGTTATTATTATTTTGTTTTTACTGGGTTTTCCATTTTAATATTTATAAGCATTGGGAGAATCTTATATATGGAATTTATATGAATAGAAATGAGAAGGAAGCCATTGCAATTGCTGTATTGAAATATCATATCTAATATAATTGATAGCATTTTTGGACCATAGCAACAAATGGAGATGAACTGCTTTGCTGAACAATCCATTTGATGCTCATTGGAGCCTGTTGTTTTGTTCACAAATCAAATATTGCAGATGTGTTGTTAGCAGTTGCCTCTCTTCAGATGATTACTGAAGTTCAAATCCCAAAGCTCCAACATATAAAGTCAATTAGAAAGGTTAGTTATGAGGAATATATTTCAACAAGTATTTGGAGGGCCACAGGTTCTCCATACTTATATTAGGATATTACTACTTTTTAATGGATCATTTCAAAGTGTTATAAAAATATCAGTCTGCCTTGCCTCTTGAATGTCTTGAATGTCTCTGTGGTGTAAAGTAAAATGAGCAGACTTGGCCAATTGGTGTTCTTCAGTCATTCTGGATTTCAGTTCCCCTCAGCCCCTGCTAGCATGGGCCATGTCAAGGGGCTTTTGTCCAAAACTTGGACAAAAGACACTACATGGCTTTCTGTTGATGGGGAGCCACCACCTGAATGAGTCTGAGGAAAGGGCAAGAAGAATGACACAATAGACAAGGCAATGGACTATTGCAATATTCTTTCTTTTAGCTGATATCTGTTGTTATTCCCTCATCTCTGAAGTTATTGGAGATTGAGATTTTCAGAAAGGCCTTTGAGGAATGGCTGTTTACCATCAGGATTTGGATGTTTAGTTATTCATTTTTGCAAATTATTTTTTTATCCATGCATTATTATTTTTTAATTTACTATGGATGTTTTATCCTATTTTGGTATGGTATTGATATGAACATTTAAATCATCATCATCACCATCACCATCATCATCATCATCATCTCTCAGTCTAGGTCTTCTGCCAGAATAGTCTACTTCTCACTGCTCTAACCACATGGCTCAAAATCCAATATAAGCTTTTAGTCCATACTGTATATTTAAGCAGTCCACAACTTCAGCATATATTTAATTGGTAGGTCTCTTATCCCACTATTCTGCCTGGCCAGATTTCTACTCAAGTGGGCAGGAATGGGAAGAATGACTGGAGGCAGCAAGTTGAAAAAGCTGCTTTCCATCCAGCTTTTGTATGAAGATCTTGATTCAGTCCCTGCCCTCTTTCCAACCTTTATTGCAAGAGTAACCTTTCTTTTATAGAACCATAGGCTGGAAAAGATTTCAGAGGTCTTTTAGTCTGACCCCTTCTCAAGGCAGGAGACCTTATACTATCCTGGTCAAATGGTTGTCCAGTCTATTTTTGAAAACCTGCAGTGATGGAGTACCCAGAATTCCAGGAGGTAACCTATTCCATTCCATTGTTCCCACTGTCAGAAAAAAAAAATCTCTTCTAGGTCTCTAACAAGCTTCCACCCATTACTTCTTATCCTGCCCTCTGGTTCTTTGGAGAATAAATCAATCCCTTCTTCTCTGTGAGAGCCTCTTAAGTATTAGAAGACAGTTGTCATGTCTCCCCAATCCTCTTCGATAGGGATTCATTTCAAATTCTGATGATGTTATAAGTACTCTCTGTGAAAAAAAGAGAGAAAGCCTAGGGAAACAGAGCCAGTTACAAAGAACAGACTTACTGTTGATCTACCTTCTTCAGATCATCTGACAGTTCCTTCTCTCCTCTTTTCCCCTTTTCCTGGATAGGTAGACATACTTCCAAATGGGACTGAAGCCATCTGTTATTTTCTTTTCAAAGAAACTTTATGGGTCTCAAATGGAATTAGTGGAAGGAATGGTAATATTGGAGGCTGCTGTATTTTTCTATAACATATTAGCTTCTTATTTAAGTTTATTTTTTAAGTGGAGCAGGAAAACTGTAGGCAATAAGGGAGATATTTGCACTGGCATACCCAAGTGCTATGTTGGAAACCCAAGTTTTATTCTAATTATATGTAACCCAATTGTATACTTTTGTCTGTTCCATTTTTCCTGGTGCCCTTTTGCTTTTCCTATTTCCTATTTTACATTGTCAGTTCTTTGGAACTCAGAGTAATACGCTCTTGAATTGTGTTAAATAAAATACACAAGAAATGAGAAAAAGCTTTGCACAGATCCCATGGACATAACTTTCATTATGTTCCTATTGTCAGGATTTACTTGCTAGAGAAAGTATAGAAACTGTAAACCTGTGTAGCCACAATGACAACAACCACTTCTAAAAAAGAATATGTGAATTGTGCATAATGCTTTCAGCTAACCAGATAAAGATGAGCTGTAGTCTGTAAAGTTGTTGTTGTTGTTCAGGGCACATTTCCCTCACAAGGGAGATACAAAAATCATAAGAAAATATAATATTTTTAAA